GCACATGTAAGCCTTTTAAATATTACGATAAGTACATAGTCTTGTCTGTTATCCATTCGATTTCCTGTACAGTGACCTTCGACCAGCTAAGAGTGTGCTCTTCACGAAATGTTAAAGCGCTACTCCTGTATACCGCGACATCTTCGAATGCCTGTTGCGATGACCCAAGCGTATGTCGCCCATAGAAGCGTACCTCCACACCAACTGCGACAATATGCCGTCCTGTATCTATATAACAAATGTAGAGTGCTGATTGAACGCTGCGTTTCGGATTTCATCGAGCTTGTCCCCTCGCTCGTCCTTCTTGTTCTCTCACCCTTTGTCTCTTGGTCTCTCGCTTAAACGGAGCTATCTCAAGGGTCACTCAGAGCCGGGCAATGCTTCGACATTTCAGTTGATAGTGGGGAGTGGAGCTGTGGAAGTCAAGATGTTAAAAAATGGAAATTATTATGAGTGTATCTCTACAAATTTAACTGCTATTACCATCCCCCTTTTCATGCGAAATCCCTAAAAATGGGTTCGTACTTGGCCGCGGGGGGCGTGGGGAGTATCGCAAAAGTAGGCTCGCCAGGCACCAAAGTGTACAAAAGTGCCATTGCTCAGTTCGATGGAATGGACGGAATGCTGCAGAAGACCCGGATGTGAATTAGGACTACAAAATAATAAGAAATTTATTAGCCATCCAGCAAGAATAAATAAATAAATAAATATCAGTTAATAGCATGAACTCGTAAGTACGTAGATGACTAATACGTCTCAAACAGATTCGTGCGTATTGTCCTTTCCAAACCCTAAACAAACATGCTTGCATGGATAAAGCACCTGAAATCAGAATTTACACCTTTCCACCACCTCTGCGTAGGAGCGTAATGCACGGCGCACACTCGGACCAAATCGATCAGTGATAGCCGAGCTCCTCTTTCATTAGAAGGGAAATATGTGTTTTGAAGGCACACTGAAGTTTCCGAAGGTGTATCCTCACAATGGCACAGAAGGAGTCGATTTTTCGGGTGCATCGGAGGGTAGCGCGTCTGTGACCCATCTAAAATATCTCCTGAACTAGCGGCGTCTTCATAACTGTAAGCTTATTGGAAGCAGAAGCATAAAGCGCTTCCAGACGATTTTGCTTGATGAAATTGCGTTCGAAATAAGTAATCCTCGTGTGAAAGCATAAAAACCGCTTGCCATTTACCCCTAGCCGATCCGAAACCCATCCGAAATATTTCACGAACGGGGAAACATTCAGATTGCAACTGGGTAGAAAACGCAACAGTAGGAACATTTCCCGTTGCATGCTGCTAACCATTCATCAAAAGCCGCGCCCCAAAAGAGATATAAGTCCCCGAAAAGACCCAGGACGTTGGCAGGCCCAACAACCGCGCTCCAATGACGTTTTCCAATGAAGCGGTCGCAACGTTGCGATCGATAATAGCCAAGTATAGAACGATTACTGCCGCCTGGTTATCCTTTTTTCATTTGGCTCCGCATTTTTTTGTATTTTCATGTTTCGCTTTGTTGTGTCGTGCATGTTTTCATGATTTCCCCGTCACCATTCATTGAATGCACATCTGGGCCTGACACGCTGACCTTGGGGCTAATTTTTTCACCAGTTTAGCTCATTAATGATCGCCGTTAGTCGCTGTTTTGATTGCGCGTTCCTTGTTACAAGTTGCATTATTCATACATGGTGTGCGAACGACGAGTTTTATTCTGAATCCTAAGACAAAATTGTAGGTACGAGGCTGTTGTTCAGCCTCATATTGCATGAGGCTGAAACAGCCTATTTATTGCCTGGATTTTAGAGCAGAGTCGCCTTTCGAAAATCCAGATTGTGAACATGCATCTGGTTGTCAGTTAGAGGAGAGGGGGGGGTCGTAACTCTTCGAGGGGGGTCGTACTCACACCGCCATTTTCGCACATTCCCATACTGTACCTGTTCCTAATAGCGGTTGTCGTAGCTCGCGTCAAGGCGGGAGCGGGATTATGCTGGAGTGACAGAAACATTTCTGATTGTCGTTTTATCCGTTTATATACTGTACTTCCCCACTTGGCAGCAGGTCAAATGTGTCCGCCACCGGCGGGCCAAAATTTCAGGTAAAATTGGTGAAAGCGTGTGTAGGATGTGAAAGGCTATAGTACTGGTAGGGAATACTTTGGCAGAAGCTGTGCTTCGGAAGTTCTGTCCAACATTAGGATCAAGGTTATTGGGGAGCCAGTACTCTCATATTTTTTTTTTGCTTTTGCATTGACCATGCAGCTTGTCAAGTGGGTAGAAATGAAGAATTTCTGCCCACTCGTAATGAGCGATAGCAGAAAGGCGAAAATACTTGAAATTACCGTGCTTCAGAGTGTAATTGCTACAAAGGCATTAGAATAGATGGGGAAGATACTCGTTCACGCACTCCATTTTCTCTGTAAAAGATTCATTTTTTCTGGCTATTTGATTCTTCCTTGTCCATGGAATCCTCTTTTCAGTGAGCTAAACTCGGCTGCACAAATCAACCGTGGTCCTGATGGAGTTTTCGAGTCATCGCGTCTTCACTGGGACATGCTTCTTGGGCGAGACGAAAGAATTTTCCCATCTGACTATCTCAATTTCGATTCTAAGATGAAGTTCTGAAAATGATGTGCTTTTTTCAATTTTCTGGATTCACATCACATATTTCATTAACCTATTTCATCTCCAGGGATTTCTGAAGTTGAAATTGTTCTGTTTCGCTCTAGACGTCGGCCTACCTGTTCTTATTTATTTTGTGATAATACGTAATAAACTTTGGCGATTTGCCTTTTGCAAGTTCTCCTATTGTATGTATTCACCGAGTATCTGGCGCCATGACAGTTTTGGAATCCTGATCGCTCTTTTAAGATAATACTTTCACTTTTAGAAACGTCCAGCTATGAATACAATGCGCCCAGGGGCCTCAGGTAAGATACCATGGTTTTCAGAGGTTTGAGTTCGTCGTAGGTTGAGGAATAGGTTTATAGATGTATTTTCTATTATTTTACAACGATTTTTTGCTTTTTACCTCAATGTATTATTCATTCGATAGAGCTCTTTCTACGCTACAATGACACACCACGCATATTCATTCGATAGAGCTCTTTCTGCGCTACAATGACACGCCACGCAGCGGAAGAACTTGTGAATTCGGAGAAGGTTGTCCCAAAGGAATTTGATGCGCTGGGAATTGTTTGTAAATAATGCTGCTATCGACAGGTGGCTCTTCATAGCCAAGTTACGTTGCGTTAAGGAAGCTATTTGACTGAAAAGACATGACGAGGCTAAACCATACTACTCTGCAATGCAACACCGCATGTTACACAAGTCGTCGAAGCCACACTTTAAGAGCTAGGATGGAGTGTGGCTTTGATGACTTGTACTCGAAACGAAACCGTCCGAGACAAGATGAAGGTCCAGCCGATTGCCAACTTCTTGCCGCATCTCGTCTCCGCTGGTATGGTCACGTTCAACGAAGACCTCCTGATGCTGTATCGAAGTTCGTTGATATGATCATTTTTGCTGGTGGTTTTCAGAAGGCCGGCCTAGAATGCGGTGGAAAGATAAGGCAGCGTTCAGACTTCGCGACGGCAGCGCTTCGGTCGCGCGTTCGACGCGATCGATGCAGTCGAAAGCATGCGCATCGATCGTTGATCGCGCGACCGAAGCGCTGCCGTCGCGAAGTCTGAACGCTGCCTAACCGAACATGGGCATAAGTGCTGCTGGCCTTTCCGCATGCTATTCACTGAGACCTTTAGAAACTTTAGTCAAAGCGTACCCAAAAGTCTAGGAAGAAGAAAAGAAGAGCTCGAATGGAATTTCCTTCAGCGACCGCCGTGTTCTGCAGACCTGGCACACCCGGGCTGCTTCAGCAGCTTTTC